AGTTATTTCCTATGCTATTTATTATAAAACGCTTTCCTTATTGCATTATTCCCAATTTCACAACAAAATATTACTTCTAAGGAAGAATAAAAAAAATGAACAAAAATTAAATTGTGAACTTCACTGTTTGGATTTCTAAAGTATAGAAAACTGCTACAAATATCAACTGAAATCATTATGACTAGATATATATAATAATGGTGTAGTTGTTGTTGTATCGGCTTGTTTGTGCTTCGTGTATTTATGAATTTTGCTGAGACCTTCATCTCGACATTTAGATGTATCGACGACGTATTATCAATTAACAATAGTTACTTCCATTCATATGTCGACTCTATGTATCCTAGTGAACTTGAAATAAAAGTTACCACAAAGTGTTACACATCTGTTTCATCTTTCGATATTATACTAGAAAAAGACGTTAATGGGTACCTAAAAACAAAAATTTATGATAAACGTGATAACTAACTTTTCCATCGTCAACTTTTCTTACTTACTGTGAAATTACTTATTTTCGAGGGGGTTAATTTTCATAGTTTTCGAGGTATAAAGACACCCTCGATTTCATGTCGGCCGCTAAATGTAAAACTTCATATATATAAGTATTCAACCATTCTTCATCCCCGAAATTAAATCCCCATGAACCCTCAAGCCACGAAAATTTTACCCTTGAAAATGTGTGATTTTATAGTATGTAGCAATATACCCGAATCTCATGCATATGGGATTTATGTCTCCTAGATGATTCGATACGCAAGAGCATGCAATACTTAGGAATAATTTCTAAAACGAGGCAAGCTATTGACAAACAAGTTGATGAAACAAGAATATAAACAGTCTCGTTAAAAGTCATTATTTTGCAAGTTCTATGGTCGATACAATGACCTTGTCAGCAGATACAATGTATCATTAAGTCGAATGCTGACTGACGTTTTTCATACTAATTGTTAGGTCATTTTCACCCTAAATTGTCTATGGAGTTTTCCGGTTTCCGATCATGACAAGGACCACAAGACGGATGTGACCAATCAACAGGAGATGCTTACTCCTCCATGGCACCTGGTCCCATCTTTGATGTTTTAAAGGTTCTTGTTTACTCTGCTCCTGATTTGTATTGTTTGATTGGGCATTTTAACATGACTTCTGTTCGTTATCTCTATATTCCATCTTACATATTTATTGTCTTCTTCATTAAAACTTTTTTCCATAATGACCTTTTTTGCAAGCTATTTTTATATACTTCCAAACATCTACCTAAGAATTACTAAAATAAATTAAATATAATAAAAGTGCAATACTTTGAGGTTGTTTTTTTTAGTTTGCTATAAATCTAAACTCCATTGAATATATCGAAATACATCACTTTTCTATAAGATTCAAGTTCAATTTTTTTTTTTAAAAATTGTCTTCTTCAATAGGCAGATGGTAAAAAATATAGGTACTGAATGTTTGAGTCCCTACCTTATTAGTACATTTGGTAATGAACATATTGTAACAATGGACTAATTGGAATACATATATGGTTATACATGTATTTGAATTGACTGAACCTACCTTTTTGCTGGTATCGTTAATTTTTCTGATCATAATAGGGTGTCTTATTGCGTCCTCTATAAACACACAAAGTTCTAAATGTATATATGATTGTTACACATATTTAAACATTATTCCAATATGTGATGAAATGTAAAAGCCTGAGAATTGGGTACATCACCTCAAAAGTCTTGTTCATATTCCAAATTCCACGCACAAGATCAAAGCATTTTAATGCTAGAATTTTTGGGGAAAAAAGACTTGTTCGGTTTCTTAAACTGCATCAATATAAACATGTAAAATCCCTTAATTCAATAAATCAGTTTGAAACAATATCTTGTTACTGCTTGACGATAAAATTGTCCAAGATCTCCAATGATGTATAGTTAGAATAATCTACCTGTGTCTCGGGACAAGCCCTCACCTGGTCCGTAGGACAATATCATTTTAACGATAGAACGTTCTATCTAAATGATGTGCTACTGAGGAAATACATAAACCTTGTATAAAGTGTATCAAAGCTGACTCTGGAATTCAATCTAAAGTTGAGTGTACTGCCTCAGTGGTGGCCAAGATACTGTACAGAAAATCAACTGTGTAATATTTTAGCATCTACACACACTTGTAACTGGAAAGAAGAAAAATGTGACGGAACAGACCAGGATTCAAAACCCAGGTACTTGCATCACTAGTCAGGTGCTCTACCAACTGAGCTATCTGGCTACTACCAACTGAACCTGCCTACCGGGTAACTGCCACACACTCAATAACCTGCAATGTTGCTGAAATGCCACGTACTAATATGCAGTTTTATCAATTTACAAAATCTCATGTCCATACACATATACAGTGAAAGAATAATTTATATTTTGAATGGTTTTTTTTTTATTTTAGGTTTAGAACATATTTTTGAAAGAAAAAAAAAACAAATAAAAAACATCTAGCAACATACAAAACAGTTCCTCAATGTATTTAAAATTGTTTCATTCAGTTACTAAGACAACCTGAGAGTATTATTAAGCAAACAAAGATACTGTCCAACTGCTCTGCAATTTTATTTGCATGGTTCACCGCAGTCCAATATTTTTTTTTATGATAAGCCAAAAATCATGTCTATGTTGACATGGTCGAGGAGTGCACAGTAATTTAAGTTCTAAGGTTTAAGACACACAGCAAGCTTCCGATTGGCAGGACTTAAGCAAGCTCTTCTCCCTAAAATATAAAAATGGGCATCAGCCTAAAGAATCTTGCTAAAAATATGTATACTCTTTATAAAATTTAGCACAATAATGTATTACTTCATTTTATCAAATTTAAAAAAAATGAAAGATATGGATTCTGTCTTGTATATTTTTTTTTTGGTCTAGTCCATGACAATTTACTCAAAGACTGAGAATACAGAGAATTTACATATTATTATATATACATTACATTATGAGGATTTAATACAGCAAACATTGATTGTTCATTAGCAGGTATACATATTATCAATCTTGTGAAAACCATTACTTACACAAAACTTTCAAAGCCATGCCTTACAGATGCAATGAGGTGATCTGTCATAGTGGTACTCCAGCAGCATCCTGCATGCAGACTTTTTCATTAACTATGGTAGAATTTGAGTGTTCTTTTCTATACTTCTTCTTGTCAGGGAATATACTTTCCTGTAAGCAGTGTAAAGCTACATATGTACTTTACTGATCAGATTAAAAATGTTCTTTCTATACTTTTTTTTGATAATATAAATCATAATTTAAAACAGTTATGCAATCCTTTTCCCTAAAAGATCTAGTATGACTAATCTCAATGATATTTGTAATGGACACAGTCAAGTTTCATGTATACAGAGTTATACTTATGCCTTAGCCCTATCATGTGTGTGGGTTTTCTAAAATTCATTTGCAACTAGTTACAAAACTGTAGCTGTCTGGGAAATAACATTAGGACAAAAATCTCTATTGTGTCAATGTCCTCATTAATTAAATTAACAGAAACTGAAATGGATGTTTTTTTTTCATTTTATTTTGTTCAACTCTGCATTATTTTCATAAAAATAAAAGTGAAATTTTAGCGGGTTTTTTTGCATGACAGTAACAGAGTTCATGATAAAAGATAAAAGTTTTCAATATAAACAAGGTATTGAATATTACCGGAAGTAACGTTGAGGAACATTTTTGATGCGGCGTGACTAAAAGTGGAATAAAAACGATGTTCCGGCATAACTCGAAACGCGGCTATTGATATTTTTTTAGTCTATTTTTGATTGTTGAATATTTTCCTGACTGGTGATTAAATGCTTTCTTCTGTATATGCATCTTTTAGATACACGTAGTCCTTTCTAGATTTCTTTCGATGTTTGGAAGTCTTTGACGTGGTGTGTGCTGTTAAATATTAATCTCTCATCTTTTCTGACTGTTGTTGGTTCCATTAACTCTGTTTTATTATTTCATATGTGAGTTGATATCATCAGATAAAATTATCAGTCACTTCATAAAATTCAAAGTAATCATTTTTTTTACAATTCTCGAATGCTTCCTTGTTGGCTTCCTAGTTAATTTGTCATATAAATCATGAGTTAATGCACTGCCTTACCACACTCTGCTTAGATACACGTAGTCCTTTCTAGATTTCTTTCGATGTTTGGAAGTCTTTGACTTGGTGTGTGCTGTTAAATATTAATCTCTCTTCCTTTCTGACTGTTGTTGGTTCCATTAATTCTTTTTTATTATTTCATATGTGAGTTGATCTCATCAGATAAAATTATCAGTCACTTCATAAAATTCAAAGTGATCATTTTTTTTTTTACAATTCTCGAATGCTTCCTTGTTGGCTTCCTAGTTAATTTGTCATATAAATCATTAGTTAATGCACTGCCTTACCACACTCTGCTTAGATAACCGACAATGGTATAGTTTCTATAAAAACGGTTAAATTCACAAGCAATAAAAGAACTCTACCGTGTGGCTTATAAATCTTAATCACTACACAGGAAATTGAGAAGTAAGAAATGTTTGTCTATATCTCAAATACTGATTCTTTCATATGTGTTTTTCTGACTAACTATAAGTAATTTTTTTTTTGGTCTCGAATGGTTTATCCATCGATTAGTTGTTCATAACTCCCTCTGCAAACTAATAAAAATAATAAATAATCAATTATCTCAATTAAACTTCAAAGTAATAATCGATAAAGTTGTTAAAAATAATTATCACAGAACAAATATTTCACGCACAGAAAATTATTATCAAATGATAAAAGCAACGCATGTAGCATCATATCTGTCGGGGGATTATTGTTAATTAAGTGTCAGTGCATTGCCTTTGCAAATTATGAAATATTATTGACTATTCTAATTAATGGTGACTTCAACATTACCTCGAAAACTGTTTCGTTACCCCATATACCCATATCAATTTTAATAAGAAACCATGATTAGCTGTTGGCACATGTAAGTTTCGTCGGAGATTATGATTGAAAATAAAATATTTCTACTGAGTTTTCTGACAATCTACAAGGTTTACAGTCTTGATGTAATACATGGGGAAAGATATGTTGGTCCTGTAGTTTCAATTGTGAAGACGGTCGGTCAGAAGCAATGTATCAAAGAGTGTCAAACCAGAGCTACTCTGTGTAAAGGAATCAGTTATAAGAGGGAAGAACTACAGTGTGAAATAGTATCCTCTACTGAGGAAATAGAGCCTTTTACAGGATACTTAAGAATTAAAGCTGATCAAGTGAGTATTAAGAAACAACTTTTTTAAAAAAAAAAATTAACGAACGTAGACCAATGTAAAATAATTTCATTTTATGTTGTGTCATCAGACTTTGCTGACCAACTTTATCTGGCGTCCCTTTGTTAATTTTCAAAAAGAAATGTCTGAAATGTTTTGAGGTAAGAATTTCATGTTTTGCCGAAGAAAGAAAGAGAGAGAAAGATACTCTGCAGAGAATATATAAAGAGAGAGAGAGAGAGAGCATTTCTTGTCCTAAGATCTTGTGAGAAATGTATAGTCCACAAGATATTGACCTTCCTTTTTGTCTTGAATATTAATTTAGCGTATCTTATTAAGTACCATACCCATTAAACCTCTTGAAAAAAAAATATTTTCTGAACATTTATTATGAGAACTAAATAGTATTTTATATTATGTTTTTAAATAAAATTTCTTTTAGATAGTGAATGACAATGTGGAATGCGTATCGTGTTTGCCAAGTGAAAAATGTGTGATACTTTCAAGCGCAAAGACGTATTGTGTCAAAGGTATGTTTAGTTTTTAAATGAAGATTGCTTACCGATCTTCCACAAGCAGATAAGTGTGTCGTATTCAACGTAACACGTTAGATTAGCTTTATGAAAAATATCTTATACTTTTGTCGTCCAAATTTCAATAACTGTGGACAACGTTACTATACAGAACATTACATACCTTTGTATATGTAATACTAGTAATGACGTAAAAATCGAGTTTGGATTAAGTTACCAAAAACGTAGAGTGAGTGTGAGTCAATCCATGTTTACCTGAGTAGTGGGTAAAGTATCAGATTCTATATATATATATTTAATTCTTTTGCGGTGATTAGGTTTTTTTTTTCAACAAAACAACAGCACACTGTTACATCCTTCACGTAGATGTGGTTTTGGTTGGAATTAAAGAATGTCAGAATCTTTTTTTTTCGTCTTCTATCTGTGACGCTGCTATTAAATGTTATTTGACAGGGTCAAATTTAAAGCGAATGTTTTATCAGAGTATTTTAAGTTAATATCACAAAAACTTTTCAGTTGTTGTCAATGTGTATACTCTAAAAGTTAATTGTTATTAATTGAGAGAGATACTGGTGTAAAGATGAATAATGACCTCTGTTCAACAATTACCGGGGTCATTTTTTGACATTAAAAATGACTTGATAGCTGTAAAAATGTATTTTTTGTAGAAAAAGAACTTTAGAACCTTAAATACCCTTCAGTTATCCATTTGTGTAACCTATAAGAAATTGACCCACATTGAAAAATGACCCCCATCACAACAGAGTGATACAAAATTTTAAATATTTTATTGACGACAAGGTCTGGGTCTCAAAGTTTAATTTTCTTGCGTTTTTCTGACGAATACTGGACGCGCAATTAAAATGAAACATAAAAGCATAACATGTATTTAAATCTATTATACCTACATGCATTTGGATATTTTACTAAAGAAAGACACTTACGGAAAATTAACAACAAAAATTTATCATAAACGTGATGATGTCAACTTTTCTTTAGTCAACTCCCCTCATTTATGACATTATTCCATTATCACCTACAAATGGAGTTTCCCTAATAAAAGTTTCAAAACTATAGTAAAAACTTTAAAACTTTGATTTACTATGAAAGTTTACTCTAGAACTTTTTCTGAGATTTCAAAGCTTAAAATTTCATGAAGTCGACAACAGTAATGTTAAATCTGGAAATAACATGTGAATATACAAGTAATGGTTCTATTTGATATAAAAATTGTGCATGTATGAATTAGAGAACATAAAATAGAACAATCTGAAATCCATAGTAAAAATACTTTGATTAATATAAGAAAAACTTTGATTTACTTTAGTAAATTAAATTTGATACTATAGCTAACTATAGTAAACTATAATTAACTATAGTATTTTTTGTTAGAGTTAAGTCTCCGATTTGATTTGATGCGAAAGAGCATGTTCTACGTACAATTTCTAAGACGAAGCATAACAAGAATATCAACAGTCTCGTTTAAAGTCAACATTTCGCAAATTCTATGGTCGATTTAATGACCTTGTCAGCAAATACAATTTATCATTAAGTCGAATGTTGACTGATGTTTTTATACAAATTGTGAGGTCATTATTTTCACACTGAATTTTTTATACGGATTTTCCCGTTTGCCCGATCATGACAAGCAGCACACGGAGGGTGTGACCGATCGACAGGAAATGCTTACTCCTCTATGGCACCTGATCCCATGCACCACTGATGCTTTAAGATGTCAGTGCTTGCTCTGTCCCCTTATTTGTTTTGTTTTAATGGATACTTTTCGTTATCTCTATATTTCATTTACAAATTGCACGTTGAGACGAGATATGGATTACTAAATACTCAAGTTTTTTAATTATTTAATTATTTTTTTTTCATTGACTCGCTTCCTTTGCAGTTTCTGGGATTACATTGAAGTTTTAATTGCAGTTAAGTTAAAATTACTTGCATATTCAGCTTTTTTCGCCATAAGCAATGGCTAGTTAATTAATGCTTGTTTTTCGGTTAAATAAAAATGTACAAAAAGTATTTCAAAAATCACACAGTTCTTCTTATTCAAGTTTTACGATACTTTTGCTACGTGTATATGTCCGAAAATACATGTATGTACACTGTTGAAATCATTGACTAAAAATTGACGCAACTTCATTGACCCGTAGATAGACAGTATAAACAATTCTCCCTCTGGGAAATATAACATATGGGAAAATTGTTTTTTGTTTTGTTTTTTTTAAATCTTCTTAAAACAGTGATTCATATGCCAAGACAAAATGAAAGCATTTCCATACAGTCAAAATTGAAGTTGATTAATGTTCTCAATTAAGCATAAAAGACAGATCATCTTATATTATTCGAAAGATTAAATGAGACCAAAACATTATCTCTGCATCCTCATTTTACGTATACCTCAGGTGAGCATTTTGGTCAATGTACCTTTTTGATTGAAAATTCTTAATCATTTTAACCAAAAAGATAAACACAAGTTTATACCTAACAAACTTTATTTAAGCTTTGAAAGGGTCTGACCCATTATTCTAAGGGGTCATTTTTTCTTTACGTAGGGATTGCAGATTTTATGGGTGATGTCACTTTTTCTACAGGCAAAAGGTTCATTCTTCGACATTGAATAATGACCGAGTGTCATTTTCCGATATGGAAAAATAACCTGAGTCATTTTCGACGTTGCATTATGACCCCCGGACATTATTCTATGAGGGTTATTATTCGTCTTTACACCGTTCTTTTTTCTTTCCACTTTCAGATGAAAATAATCCTAAAGATTGTACAGCGATCAAAAACAATCTATCGTCATCTCCGAGTGGATTGTATAGAATTAGTATTCCAATGCTAGGTCACGTGACTGCCTTTTGTGAAATGGAGGCTGACGGCGGAGGCTGGACAGTAACTATTTGTTTAATTTCTAATTAATAAATTAATTACTCCAACATGTAAATAAGGGAAGAATATTATGCAAAACAGTTTGTGGTAAATTCTAATTATCAATCCATTTGATTCTTTTGCTATAAATAAATAATAAATGAATAATGTAAGGTATCGGTTACAAAGTTAATGGAGAAATTCATAACATGACTATTTTGCTTGTTGTGGTAAACGTTTTTGAATTTAAAATTACTTTAATTGTATTCAACTACGATCTACTCGTTTTAGACGTGTGTTGATTATATATATCGATTGATTTTAAAGATTTATACCCAACTACCAGCCAAAATTTTACGTTACTATGTATATGGGTCTTGAATTATTCCTTGGTTTTCAGTTTCAAGGCTTTCCCTCTCTGTCCCTTGTGGTTTTGTAGCCATTGCTATTAAAACAGCCGTTTGACGATAAAAACAGGTGTTTAACATTCAAGGATTCAAGGAAAGCGAAGTAATTAAAATAATTGAACGCATGATTAACTTGTAATTACTAAATAACTGTGTAATTTATATCCACCGGTTGTCCGGACTCATAGTTCCAAGTAAACAAAACAAAATGTTGGATTGAAAACTATTTCACCGTTTTTTTTTTAATTTACTGTTTATTGATAACCTAAATATGGCGAATATTTACACGGCAGTTATTTTACCCCAAATACAGTTTTGTTGATAAAAATTGCAAAATAAGTGCATAGCATAATATAAAAAGAAATATATTTGCAAACGAATTTATTCGTAAACTGTCACTTTTCTAATGCTTAAGACTGTTTTGACTACATACTGTAAGGTTTTTCAACGTCGACTGGACGGATCTGAGGATTTCTACAGAACGTGGTCGGAATACAAAGACGGATTTGGAAACTTGACAGCTGAATTCTGGTTTGGTAGGTTATTACTCATTAACAATTAATTTATTTTGAAAATAACATTCGCTTAAAACATTTGATCTTCGAAAACGTGAAGAGTAGGATCCCCCTATCCTTATTTCTATTATGGCATTAACAAAGAAGTAATGTTTTATTCAATGCTTATATTTCAAAACAATTTTGTTTTGTGTTCGAAACAATTATGCTATAATTAACTTAACTTTTTGTCTTTGAAAAAGTTTAGACTAATAGACTTTGCATTCTTGTAGGATCATTAAAAATCCTTTTCCTATTTACGGAATGTCGTCCAATTGATTTATGTTATTTGCATCAATATTTAATATACTAATTATGTCAAGAATAATTGAATTAAAGCGAATAAATTTACATAACAATTATTCAGTTTAACATGATATGTAAATGCAATTTTAAGGACATGGTATTAGAAGAAATTATGTATACTCTTACATAATAATTTGCTAATATATGCAAATGAACGAGAATACGATTATTTTGTTTGCTTAAAAAAGTTGCTTTTGGGTCTGTATTTTGTACCCTTTTCACAGACTTGTTTTGATTATAGATTTTTTTGAACGATCACTGATCGTTATTTTCTTCACTTCTTTCATTTCACCTATTTCAAAACTACTGTACACCAACAATTATTCGAGACAACTTTTATTCACAATTCGTCAGTTTCAGTTTCATCTGCAGCTATTAATTTTCGCATTTGAGGAAATTTTCTGTAAAAAAAAAAAATAACAATGAAATAAACGGTTCGCAGCGAGAAGTATTCGCGACTTAAAAAAAGGTCGAGCAACTCGCAGATATTTCTTTCATGCGAATAGAAGTTGGTTAGTCCCCCACGTTGAGACTTGGTCCAATCCTCATTCACCGTTCACGGTAGCTCAATCGGTAGGGCGCTCGCTTCATGATCGGAAGGTCGTGAGTTCGAATCTCGGGCGCGACTGACCAAAGTCGATAAAAAATGTATAGCAACTGTTCCTTCGCCATGCGCTTGGCACTTTGAAGTGAAAGTTGCGGGTCCTTCGGATGAGACCTTAAAAACCGAGGAGTTGGCACGATAAAGATCCCTCACTGCTCAATGGCCCTGAATGCCGAGTAAAGGTCAAAAATTTGAAGCCCTTCACCGGTATGTGGTGTCGTCTCTATATGAGTGAAAAATTCTCGAATGGGACGTAAAACAACATACAACCAACCAACCAATCCTCATTCTAGAATTACTAAGTAAGGATTGATCATTATCCAGCGAGATTTTATCGCACTGCGGGCATGGGTGTCCTTCGGATGAGACCTGATAAACCAAGTTTATGTGTCGCAGTAGATCTTGACAAGGAAAGATCATTAATGCTCAATTGATAAACTTGGAGCTTCCACGTGCATGGGATACTTACCCCTCCATGGTACCTGATCGCACCATGCTTTAAGAGGTCCTTAATTGCTTTGTCCCACACTTGTATTGTTTCAATGGACTTTTAAGTTTGATTACTGTTCGTTGTCTTCATATTTCATGCAAATTGTGGCGTTCCAACATGATTGAGTGATTTTTTTTTCTAAGTAAGCGATTCTGTGCATCTGGAATCCCTTTTTGTTTTCTTTGTTTTCAATTTTATGCTTTTTATTTATGAAGAGAACAACGCGAGATTCCAGACGAACAGAAACGCTTACTTGTTTGCGAAATTAGCGAGAAGTAAAGTTTCAAAAAGTTTATCACCACACAATCTGACTAAAAGCTAGTCTCTGTGCTTGTTTAGAGGAGAATTTTTGTTACTTTTGCAGAATTTTACGATATTTTCATCTATAATTGATTTAATTAAGGTAACGAGAAGCTCTATCTCTTATTGAGTCAAGGAACATACGAGCTACGGATGGACATGAGTGACTTCAACAATCAGAAACGATATGTTAAATACAGCAGTATATCCCTGGGAAACGAGGCTTCCAAGTATAAGATTTCCCTATATGGATTCTCAGGGGACGTCGGTTAGTTATCTTGTAGGGAAAGATTTTCCAATTTTTCTTTAAATCCCTAAAAAACTAAAATTGATGTTTCCAAAAAATCTTTAAAGGTTATTCGAAGATACTGTTTCTTTTATCTTTGTTATTCTTCAATGTATCTCTTTAAATTATTGATTGGTTGATAGATTGATTATTGCTTTTTAAAGGTGACTGTTTCACCTCAACAAACCAACCAATACAAAACATGAAATTCACGACGAAGGATCAAGACAATGATGTTGATGGAACTAACTGTGCGATTAGATTCCGGTCAGGATGGTGGCACAACAAATGCCACTGTGCTAACCCTAACGGTCTGTACTTAGCTGGAGACACCACCATATTTGCTCAAGGAATAACCTATCATCCCTGGTTAACGCATTATTATTCACTAAAGACAATCCGACTAATGGTTAGAAGAACTATATAAGTTCTTTCACTCTAAGGACAGACCTGAAGAGGGAAACAGGCGTTACTTTAAGCGGAAATGATCGACATTTGTTATTTTTTAAAATTCAATTAACTGCCTGAAAATGGCAAAAATGGAGTGAAATGTAAAATAAATGGATTGTGACGAGTACTTGATCACTCTTCCACGAAATGAATGTTACAGGCTCGTAAGATCGTTGCATTTTATTGTCATTTCGACAGACTTTATTTGTGAATCATTTGTATAAATTTTTCTGGTGTTTGATAACACCTACAAAATGAAAGGGTTTTCAACAAACTTGTTTTAGAGCCATATTTAAGACATTATAAAATATTATATTCTTTTTATTTCAACACACGCAATTTTTATTCTTAAAACAATCTTAATGATAATATATAATTTCATTCTTTAGATCATCTGTTAAATTAGTCTAACAACTGGAGTGATTAAACATTAATTGATGTGAAATGTCTAATATTTTAGTATTGCTATTTTTTTTTTTTTTTTTTTTTTTTTTTTTTTTTTTTTTGCTAAAATATTCACCTATAGACAACTTGTGATGTCATTGAACTTTGTATTAATATCAACATAAAATATTAAGATAACGAACAGTTATCAGGCTTAAAAGTTCATTGAAACAATAAAACAGATTTAGAGCATAGCAAAATAAAGAAGATGTTTGATCACGTGCCATTGATGATTAAGCATCTCTGTCGACCGGTCACACTCTCTGTGTGCTCCTTGTTATGATCGGGCAAAATCAGTTCCACAATTTTCACAACAGTCACAATTCAGTGTGAAAACATAAGTTAAAACTCGACTTAATGATAGGTTGTATTTTCTGATAAGGTCATTATAGCCACCATAGAGTCTGCGAATTTTTTACTTTGAACGAGGTTGCTACCTGCTTTGTCAGCTGGGACCAGAACACATTGATCGTGTAATCATTTTTTTTACTTCTAAATTATTGAGGACAGAAGGAAAGATGGTTTTCATGTTGCCCGACAGCTGCATAATGCCTATCTGAAACTTCTAATAAAGTGTCGTTGTCTTCTTTTTCATGTCTGGCCCATTGCCTGACGTAATCTTCCACAGAGGTCATAATATTTTTGAAATTATGTCGCCAGTCGAAAGATCGGGGTTCCTAAATTTTGGCCCTTTTAAAATAAATGATTTAAAGTCCTCATGATTCTCATTATTAACTGTCAATGTCTCAGATATGACGGTGTGCCGTGGAAGAAATGTAGTATATGGCTTCGGGCAATGTTGAATAAAAATGAAATTTTCCTTTTCATTGATGAAATTAAGAGAAATGGATGGTCATGGCCATTTTCAGACTATTATAAACTTTTTGAAACAAAAAGCTCTAAATATGATACTTTTTAAAAATTTTATTATATATGTGGGGGTTTTTTTCATAAAATAATACTCAATGGCTAGAAGAAATCATATTTCATATATCTAGGTGGATTTGTATGGTAAACTTTGTTGACCATGCACAGACTAAGCCTCTTTAAATAAACAAATGATACTATTTACAGTTACATGTATTTTTGAAGTTGCATTGAAAGAGTTTGGTAATAAATTTAACTCCTCAAGGTCATCTTTTTCTTGACTAATCATTATCAAAGAAAAGTGCATCATCGTCAGAGGCAATTTTTTTATAAAAACATATTAAGGTAATGTAACATCACCTTCTCTATTTTATACGTTTCTGAAGTCATTCTTCAAGCAAATTTTATAAGATTATTTGATAAATGTGAAGATAACGAACAGTGATTAATCTACCAAAAATCTACAAACAAGACAAGTCGTTGAAAAGGCATAAAATACGGAGTCATGGAAATTCCAGAGTTGGGATCAGGTGCCTAAGCAGTAAGGAGAGTAAGCATCCCCTTTAATGAATTGAATTTATGAATTGAAGATCAGTAAAAAGTCGTTCTATACAGGACAAATATGAAATCACTCAGTGTTAAAATTAATGATGAGTTCGCCCGACAGGAAATACAATTATTATTGGTGAATCTGTATTTATATATCCCGAAATATTCATACAAATAATTGTATACCAAATCAATCAAAACTTTTAATAAAAACACATATTTTTCAACCTCAAATTACTTTTTAATTTTAAAATGTTTCTAAAACATTCAACAGCAAATTTATTTTATTCTCAGATGTTCTTTCAGTTCATTTTGCCCTGTACAATGTGACCGGAAATTTGTTTGCCTCAATTTAAGAATTTTTTTTTCATTCTTGAAGGCTGCATGATGTATAAAAACCTTTTTGTTCACATACAAAAAGCTTAGCAATTGTATCCTAGGTTTGTCGTTTTAATTATAAATATATAAAGTACCTGGTAAATGTGATTGGAATCGATCGCTTTTATTTACGAAAATTTAGTCATACATCAAACAAACTAAAGAAAGAATTTAATTTTTCGTACCTAATTTCAAAGCATTAAAAATGATAATTTAATTCAGTCTTTCTGTCTAAATTATGCTTAAAGTTAACTTCACAAAAGACTGACCTTCAAAGTGATCTCAACAGGATATGTACACACGTATATGTAATTATTTTTTGATTATTGAAAAAAACAGATGACCTTAAAATAATTGATAATTATTAAAGGATTCTAGATGAACTCATTAAAAAAGATCTTTGTGGGATCCAGTGAACAAAATTCAACTGCAGCTTGCGTTTAATTGGATTTGTGAGGATATTGAATACATACTCCTATATTGATATTTCAATTTCATAACCTGAAAATCTATCCCTTCCTATCGGTGAAAGTGCCTTTCATTACGCCATATTATGTTGCAGTTAATATATGTATGTAAAACAATGCCTCTTGTATATTTATTACCTTTTATTTTGAACAAAGAATATGTTGCTAAAAATAAGTTCTATACCTCTTTGCTGCTCAGATGTTAAACAGGATGCCCATGGGCCAGAACGCTCACCTTAGTAACTATTGCCCTTCTGTTCTTTATCAGCAGTTCCTAACTATATATTCCAACGTAAAATTAAGATAACATATTGTGGTCCAATCCTACCCCCAAGTGTCATGATTTGAACAGACCTGAATCTACACTACCTGAGGATTAAAATAAGAACTAATCTTGGCTTTACTGTTTATTTTAACGATGTTTTCCATATATTCTAATGTAAAATTTTGATTGCCCATTGTGGCCCCATCCTACCCTCTGTGGATAATGATTTGATTAGAATCTACATTACCTTAAAATGCTACCATATGAATATAAATAATATTAGCTTTGCTGTTCTTGAGAAGAAGACTTTAAAAAAAATTATGTATTCCTATGTAAAACATTGATAACAATAGTGGCGCCATCCTAACCCCGGGTTTATGTTTTGAATAAAATAGAATCTGCATAGCATGAGGATGCTACCATATGTATCAATATATCTAATCATGGCTTTATTGTTCTTGAGAACAAAAGTTTATAACATTTGTCTCATACATTCTAAATCTTTGATCGACCATTCTGGCCCAATCCTACTCCCGGGGTCATGATGTGAAAGAATTTGAATTTACACTACCTGAGGATGTTTCCATATCAATATGATCTATGATGGCTTTGTTGTTCTTCAGAGGAAAATTTTTAAATATTTTTTCCTGTTTATTCCAAATGTAAACCTTCTACACTACATGTAAAAGCTTCTGTATGAATAAAGCTTATGGTTTTGATATTCTTCAGCTGAAAAAATTTGAATTCCTTTCCCTCACATCTACATTTAAACTTTTTCAGTTTTTTTTTCAAAACTATTTATTTTATGGCAAACATGTTAACTGCTTTCATTGCTAGTTCTCTAATCAACGCTTTCATTAGAAGATGTTTTCCAAGTTCTCAAAGTAATTATTTTGATATATTTCATACTCTGAAGTGTAAAAATTATATGAATTCTAGTTTGGTAATATTAAACATATACCAAAGGTTTTTCGTTTATCTTTGAAAATATAAAACTAGAACTGAAAGTTTAACTTCGTGGACAAAAATAAATAGGTCCTTTTAGACTTGCGATGTAATAGAAACTCATTATCTTTTAAGCATGTATAAAAAAAAATCAAAACATTTCCTTTCCATTTTTTCAATAACTCTTAATATTATCGAGCTTTAACTTCTTTCAGATCTCATCTGATCGATTTGAAGTCTATAGCTAGCAATTTGTACAAAAAAGCAAAAAAAAAAAAAAAAAAAAAAAAAAAAAAAAAAAAAAAAAACCATAAATGTTGGACTAAATATTTATATTATATAATAGTTGTATTTCATTTAGCTCCCGATTAATATAAAATCACCAAAAGATTTTTGAACTGCTCTCCGAAGAGTCTTATTGGGTGTTTGTCCTCGCTCTCGGGAGGTTTGAAATGATATTGCAATGGCCCTTGCTCTCACATTAATTAATTATTTTGATAAGTGACGTCCTCAGAGACTGTTCGTATTGCTAAAGGTATGGAGAAATGTAACAGATTCTTTTATTTTGAGACCAGCATCATTTTTGTCTGCTCTTCGCCAGACAGCAAAAAGATTTATTAAGGAGAAATGTCAAGTTGTGTACCACCCGTAATTTACATATAATGGATCGAAGGAGAACCTTAATTTTACCTTTTGCTCTGTTTCTTGCAAGAATTATTCATACATATGGGAATGGGAACATAGAAAGTGTCCTTCGAAAGGTTATTTTTAACAAATACGATCGGTTAAGTACGCCTGTACTTAATATCACTACTGATAAAGTTCCACTTAAAGCCGAACTTTCCCTTCGTAGTATCGAAAACATTGACGAAAAATCACAAACGTTTTCTTCAGTCGTTGACAAGATTTACTGGTGGGAGGATGCCTTCCTCAAATGGAATAGAACTGAATATCCGATTAATGTTCTACGCGTT